CATTCACCTACACCATTCACATATACACCCATCATACACCTACAACCTTCACATAGACACCCAGCATACACACACACCCTTCACATATACACCCAGCATACACCTACACCCTTCACATAGACACCCAGCATACACCTACACTCTTCACATATACATCCAGCATTCACCTACACCCTTCACATAGACACCCAGCATATACACACACACCCTTCACATGTACACCCAGCATACACCTACACCCTTCACATATATACCCAGCATACACACACACCCTTCACATATACACCCAGCAGTACAGTAGACACGGCAACCCGTGGTAGTTTCCAGTGCTGTGTGTCCGCTGATCTCTTCCGTCTCGTGAGCTCTGCAGTGGAGGCCCTTCTGTCAACAGTGAAGGCCCTTCTGTCAACAGTGGCCCTTCTCTCACCAGTGGAGGCCCTTCTGTCAACAGTGAAGGCCCTTCTCTCTACAGTGAAGGCCCTTCTCTCTGTCAACAGTGGCCCTTCTCTCACCAGTGGAGGCCCTTCTCTCTACAGTGAAGGCCCTTCTCTCTGTCAACAGTGGAGGCCCTTCTCTCTGTCAACAGTGAAGGCCCTTCTCTCACCAGTGGAGGCCCTTCTCTCTACAGTGAAGGCCCTTCTCTCTTTCAACAGTGGAGGCCCTTCTCTCTGTCAACAGTGAAGGCCCTTCTCTGTCTACAGTGGCCCTTCTCTCTGTCAACAGTGAAGGCCCTTCTCTGTCTACAGTGGCCCTTCTCTCTGTCAACAGTGAAGGCCCTTCTCTCAGTCTACAGTGGCCCTTCTCTCACCAGTGGAGGCCCTTCTCTCTACAGAGGCGTATAAGGAGCAACTGCAGGGCTGCGCCTTTTGTCTTTAATACACACAGACATGAACAAAGCCAAAACATCTCCCCTCCCATGTAACCTCTGTAGACCGTAGGGGCAAGTGCTGCTGTTGTTGCTGCATCTGTAGACCGTAGGGGCAAGTGCTGCTGTTGTTGCTGCATGCATCTACAAAGGCCGAGATGGTGTGGCCAGCACTCTGCCCGGCCGCCTTTGAATGTCTTCCCAATGCCGACACATCGCTCACCGCGTACTCGTTTTAGGCCGAGTTAACTTAGGGGAGGCACGGGGCATGCTCGTATCACTGGCTACCGATACCACGCACAGACACGCACTCGTAAAACAAAGATCGAATGTAGAGACAATATACACTTACGGGGTTCATTGCCGTTAGCAAGCACCTATTAAGGTAGGCAAGGGGCAGTGTGGCTAGTACGAGTTCCCGGCCGCCTTTGTATCCATACATTCCTAAGTGTTCATTTCAGCCCGAGTGGACCTGGGGGAGGCCCAGAGCACAGTCAGACTCGAATCCAACGCGGGCGTCATCAGGGTGGAGGCGTCGGCACGCACACACGCGCGGGTACATCCAACACAAACACACATACAACAACAACACACATACAACAACACACATACAACAACAACACACACACACTGCAGGCACATTCACCAGAACACGACACGTTCACACTCAGCCCGTTGACACAAAGCGAGACATGTGCCACGCACACGGAACAACACCACAAACGCACCCCCAGGGCGCGTACAGATAACGCACAGGCAGAACGCATGCGGACACGGCACAATACAACGCAGTCGCATCAAATACTGTACAGGCAACACACAATGCTGTAAGCTCAAATACGTATCGTGCACACACACAGACAACACACCACACGCACACACACGCAGATAACACGCACGGGCCACGCCATTAGCTCAAACCACACACAGACAACACGGGCTACACACACACAGACAACACGGGCTACACACACACACAGACAACGCGGGCTAAACACACACAGACAACGCGAGCTACACAGACAACGCGAGCTACACACACACAGACAACACGGGCTACACACACAGACAACACGGGCTACACACACAGACAACACGGGCTACACACACAGACAACACGGGCTACACACACACAGACAACACGGGCTACACACAGACAACGCGAGCTACACACACACAGACAACACGGGCTACACACACAGACAACACGGGCTACACACAGACAACGCGAGCTACACACACACAGACAACGCGGGCTACACACAGACAACGCGAGCTACACACACACAGACAACACGGGCTACACACACACAGACAACACGGGCTATACACACACAGACAACACGGGCTACACACACAGACAACACGGGCTACACACACACAGACAACACGGGCTACAAACAGACAACGCGAGCTACACACACACAGACAACGCGGGCTACACACACAGACAACACGGGCTACACACAGACAACACGGGCTACACACATCCACAACACACGGGGTACACACACAGACAACACGGGCTACACACACACAGACAACACGGGCTACACACACACAGACAACACGGGCTACACACACAGACAACACGGGCTACACACACACAGACAACACGGGCTACACACACACACAGAAAACACGGGTTACACACACACAGACAACACGGGCTACACACACACAGACAACGCGGGCTACACACACACAGACAACGCGAGCTACACACACACAGACAACGCGAGCTACACACAGACAACACGGGCTACACACACACAGACAACACGGGCTACACACACAGACAACGCGAGCTACACACAGACAACACGGGCTACACACACAGACAATACGGGCTACACACACACAGAAAACACGGGTTACACACACAGACAACACGGGCTACACACACAGACAACACGGGCTACACACACAGACAACACGGGCTACACACATCCACAACACGGGCTACACAGACAACACGTGTTACACACACACAGACAACACGGGTTACACACACACAGACAACACGGGCTACACACACAGACAACGCGGGCTACACACACAGACAACGCGGGCTACACACACACAGACAACGCGGGCTACACACAGACAACGCGAGCTACACACACACAGACAACGCGAGCTACACACACACACAGACAACGCGAGCTACACACAGACAACACGGGCTACACACACAGACAATACGGGCTACACACACACAGAAAACACGGGTTACACACACAGACAACACGGGCTACACACACAGACAACACGGGCTACACACACAGACAACACGGGCTACACACATCCACAACACGGGCTACACAGACAACACGGGTTACACACACACAGACAACACGGGTTACACACACACAGACAACACGGGCTACACACACAGACAACGCGGGCTACACACACAGACAACGCGGGCTACACACACACACAGACAACGCGAGCTACACACACACAGACAACGCGAGCTACACACACACAGACAACGCGAGCTACACACATCCACAACACACGGACGCGCTCACGTAACGCACACGCACGGGGAGGGAGCGGCAGGGGAGAGAGGGGAGGCGGTGTGGGTGGTGTGGGTGAGTGAGTAGATGGAAGGAGGAGTGGGGGAGGGAGACAGAGAGGGAGGCGGGTTGGTTGCCGTGCTTGAGTGAGTGGATGGGAGGGAGGAAGAGAGAGCGAGAAGGGAGGGAGCGAGCGAGGGAGCGAGGGAGGGGAAGCTCCGGGGAGGGTTCGCGGCGCACCGGAGGGGGGGACGGGCGGGGACGGGCGGCGGTGGAGGGGGTGGTGGGGGGGGGCCCCCCGAGCAATCCGCGGGACAGGGGAGCACGGCAGGGCCCGGCGGGGGCCCCCTCGTCGTGAAATGGCGCTGAGTGTGCGGCACGGGCTGGCGGCGCGGGGCGGCATCCATCAGCGCTAAACGAGTGTGTAAACAAAGCGATGTCCCCTCCGCTCATTAGGGCTGACAGGCGGCGCGCATGCGCGCTCCACATTAAGCTCGTCCCGAGGCGGATCATGTCTGCGGTGCGGGCACCCAGATCCTGAGGTTTGGCTCCATCTCGGCGGCGCGGGGACCCCGGGACACCCCGCGACCCTCCTCCTCCTCGCCGCGTCTCCTCCCGCGCCTCCCCGGGGCAGCCTCGGCGGTGTCGGCGGCGGCGGCGCCGCGTCCGGTGCGGGAGCTCGACTTGGGGTTTCGTGGCCAAGAAATAAAAAAATAAAATAAAATATGTAAAAAAAAGAGAGGTGGTGGTGGGGGGGAGCAGCAGCAGCAGGAGAGAGGAGGATGATGGGGAGGGAGAGAGCTGGAAAGAGAGAGGTGGTGGTGGGGGGGGGTAGCGCGCGGGGGCTGTGGGGGGCCATGATTAATTGGCTGCGAGCCCCCACTGACACGGCGGCTCACGCGGCTCACGCGGCGGTGTAAATTAGCCCGGGAGAGGCGGCGGCGGCGGCGGGCGGCGGGCGCCTCCACCTGCCCCGAGCCCCCCTCGGGCGACCCGGGACGCCGCGATTTTTTCTCTCTTCTCTTCCTCTTGCCGCCGCCGCCGCCGCTGCTGCTGCCCGCGCGCGGGGTTGATCGTCCCACCGAGTTCCCCCGCTCCTCCTCCTCCTCTTCCCTGGGACCGGGGGGGAGGGAGGAGGTGGTGGTGGTGGGGGCGCATCCCGGGCGGGCGGGAGGGAGGCAGTAGGCCCAGGCCTCTCGCCATTAGCAGCAGACATGGGGTGCGCGCCCCGGGCCGCCGCCGCCGCCGCCTCCTCCTCCTCCTCGCCCCCGCTTTGTTGTTGTTGTTGTTTCTGTCTCCGCGCGTCCCGCGCCGCTGCCGTCACCGCCGCGGGGGCCGGCGCCCACCGCCCCTAGCCCGGGGGCCCCGCGCGGGGCCACACCTGTGGCGCGGAGATCGGGGCCGCGGGGCCTGATCAATAGACGGATCGGTAACGGGGCCTCCCCCTCCCATCTCTCTCTCGTCTCTCAACTCCCCCCCCTCACTCTCCTCCCCCCCCTCTCCTCTCCCCCCCATCTCTCCTCTCTCAACTCCCCCCTCTCTCTCTATATCCTCACCGGCTCCCCCCCCGCTCTCCCCTCTTCCTCCCGCGCTCTCCTCCCTCCCTGCAGGCGGCGGCGGCGGGGTGTCTTGAATTTGGCAGGGGCCCGGGTGAGTGATATGGAAACACACTACTCGGAGCTCAACCCCTTCCTGCCCGACATGATACCGTGGGGCAGCCAGCTGTGGGAACAAAGAGCCGCTCCGTGGGACCACCTGAGCGGCCACCACCACCACCATCACCACCACCACCCGGGACTAGCGGCCGCGGGGTCCCACGCCGTCTGGGAGCCCAGCCAGCGGGGGCCCTGGGACGTGAACGCGCGGCACGTGGCCGGCCTCCCGTGGGGCAGCCCCCTGTGGGACCACCCGAGACAGCCCTGGAAAATCAATAGCCAGGCGGACAGCTTCCCCGCCACGGTGGTGAGCGAGGGGGAGGGCGGCAGCGAGAAGACGTACACAATCCTGGAAATGGTGCGTGAAAACGCGAGCGGCGGGGCCAGGCGACCCCAGATTAGTAATGGCTCGGCGCCTGGGGGAGTCGTGCAGGCGAGGCGGCCAGATCCCTCCGCCTCCTCCTCCTCCGCCGCCTCCTCCTCGCAGGCGACCAACGGGGGAGTCGCGGCCGCCGCCGCCGCCGCCGCGGGCATGAGCGGCCCCCACGGCCTGTGCCAGCTGTGCGGCGAGGCGCTGCCCGCAGACTTCGTGGCGCTGCGCAACCACGCCAAGCGCCACATGGACAAGCAGTCGCTCATGTGCATGAGCTGCAGTGCGCAGTGCAAGAGCTCCTCGTCGCTCACCGTGCACGTGCTGCGCCACATGGGCATCTACCTGTTCGCGTGCGACACGTGCGGGAAGCGCTACCCCACCAAGTGGCATCTGGACGAGCACAGGCGTGCGCACGAGCAGCAGCAGCAACAGCAGCAGCAGCAACAGCAGCAGCTGCACCAACAGCAGCTGCTGCACCACGCGACCGTCAGCGCAAACAGCATCGGCATCAGCATCGGCGGAGGTGTCGGAAGCAGCAGCAACGGCGGTGGCCACGGCGGCGGCGGCGGCATGAAGCAGCAGCAGCAGCAGCAGCTGGAAAGGAGCCAGGAGGAGAACAATCTGCTGTCGAGCTGGCTGGACGCGCAGTACGAGTACGGGGACTACTTCGGGCACCTGGCAGCGAGGGCGGCCGCGGCCGCGGCCCCGGGCCACGCGCTCTGCCACCACCACCACCAGCTCCCGCAGGCCGGGGTGCAGGTGCAGGTCGCGGCCGCCGCGGCAGCGGCCGCGGCCGCGGCGGCCGCAGCGGGTGGACACCCGGCCCCGCTGCACCATCACCTGCACCATCATCACCACCAACCTGTGCAGCAACTGCAGCAACTGCAGCAGCAGCAACATCAGCTTCAACAGCAGCAGCTTCAGCAGCAGCAGCAACAGCTTCAGCAGCAGCAACAACAGCAGCAACAACAGCAGCAGCAGCAGCAGCCGCCCACCCGGCTGTCCAGAGCGGCTGTTTGCGCTGACCTCTCGCCGCGGCGGGAGAACGGAGCGGCCGCCGTCACGGCGGCCCCTGGGGCCGTGCCCGCGCCCTTGCCCGCGGGGCCGCCCGTGCCGGCGTCGGCACCGCCACCCCCCGCGGGGCCGCCCCCACGCGAAGGCGGCGGCGGTGGCGGCGGCGCGACCTCCTCCTCGACCTCGACGCCCTCCTCGTCCTCGTCGGGGGCGCGCGCCGCATGCCAGATCTGCGGCAAGGAGCTGCTGGCCGAGTTTGCGTGCGTGCGCGAGCACGCCAAGCGGCACCACGTGGACAAGAGCAGCCTCACGTGCACGTGCTGCGGCCTGCGCTGCAAGACCTCCTCGGCGCTCACCATCCACGTGCTCAAGCACGTGGGCGTGCTTCTGTTCGCGTGCGACGTCTGCGGGAAGCGCTACACCACCAAGTGGTATCTGCAGGACCACCGGCGCGCGCACGAACGCGCCGGGGAGGTGCACGGGGCCACGCCGCCCGTGCACCACCAGCAGCAGCACCATCACCCGCACCTCGTCGGCGCGCAGGAGGCGCGATGTGCGGCGGGCCAGAGGGGTCTCCCTTCCATCTAGACCCTAACACCCACCCCCCCACCCCTCTCCCTGTCACTCTCACCCCTCCCCGCATCTCCCCCCCCCCCGTCCCTCTGCCGTCTCACACCACTTCACCGTGTGCTGCATAAAGTTTACACGGCTACACACGCCACGACGCAGCCACACGGACCCTGATGGTGGTGATGGTGTTGATGGCGGTGGTGGTGGTGGTGATGGCGGTTATGATATCAGCTCAGCGACGCTGCTCGGGGGCCGTGTAGCGACTCCACTGCAGCCCGTCCGTGAACCCGTGGTCCAACATTTATACACGACGCTAGCGGTTACTTATATCCTGCAGTGTTTGACATGATTGTCACCAACACTTGTATACGATGTAACGTCTTATCATTATTCTTATATTATTATATCCTGTATCGTATCCGCGCTTGGCTTTAAGACGCGCGTGGGGAGGCAGTGGCTTAGCCCCTTATTCCGCTGACCCGAGGATTCACGGGGTCACTATCAAGTTCCTTGACCTTAACATTTGACCCTGGAACCACGCAGGGTCATCACCAAGAAGCCTCCTCGAGTCCCGTCCGGTGCTGGTGGGGGTGGGAGGAGGCTGCCGTAACCCCCCCCCCCCTCGTTGCGGGGTAATTGCCGGGGTGCGTGACTCCTCCTCGAGCTGTATTTACTCATTAAGTCATTAGCGAGGGGGGCGATCCCCCTCCTCCCCACGAGCCCTACCGCGGCTCCACGCGCCGCCTCCCGCCTCGCGGGCGATGCCCGAACTCGCGGCACGCGTCGAGGGTCCGCGCGCTCAAGAGGGCCACGCTCGGGGATTCACGGAGATAGACGCTTAGAGAAGGGCGCACGATTCCCATCGAGACAGGCACATAGACACATCGAGACCTCGGGATTAGTTGGACAACACAAGACACATCGGCACAGGCATACACGGCGAGAACTTGGGACACGGCAATCCGCGGATACAGAACCACCAGCGCAGACGCAGATATACAAATACACAGGCGCAGCTACACACGCGCACACAGAGATAAACACACAGATACACAGACACGAGCACTCGTACCCACCCAGATACACACGGGCACACACCCACACAGTGAGGCCATCAAACAGCCGCACACACACAACCACACGTGCTGTGTGCAGAGACACGCGGACACGCCACACAAAGACGCACACGACCGCAGAGAGACACATGTGCTGTACATACACTCCTGATAAACCTTAGGCTATATATACTTGCGCAAAGACACGCAGACATACAGAGAACCACAGACGCATGCTGTACACAGAGACGTGTGATGTACACACAGAGACACACTTACGCGCGTGTGAGGAGTTGAGGTCGGGGCAGCTGTGGTCGATGTTGGTTTCGAGGCCACATGGAGAGTCTCGAGGCCCCTTTTGTATCCCCGACTTGCAAAATAGCAATAATGCCAGCGGCACCTCCCACACAGCTGCAGCACCGCGCGAATCCCTCACCGGCTACCAAAGGCGTTTACGTGCCCCCACCCCTTCTCCACCCCTCCACCGACGGACTGTCCATGTCAAGTGGTGGCCGCACGCGCGTAGTTCAGGTGGCCTCACCACCTGCAGGGCGCAGGTGAGCGCGCACGCGGTGCGTGTTGTGCCGCGGGTGACCGCGCGCACCTGCACGTTCGGGGCTGACCGCGCGTGGTCGATGCGGGTGACCGCGCGTGCGGTTTCAGTGACCGCGAGCCTCGGGTGCGATCACACGGCGTGTAGAGCGCGCACCCCCCCCCCACTCTCCTCCCCCCCCACTCTCCTCCCCCCACTCCCCTCCCCCCACTCCCCTATCTCTCGCTCCCGGTGCGGTGCGAAGCAGAGCCGCGTCCCCTCCTCCCCCGCGCTCGCTCCCGCGTCCAGCTGCCTTCCCCGTGTCGCGTCGCGGGGGGTCTCAAAGTCGCGTTGCTCCCGAGGGCGCAGAGGGGGGTAAAGCCGCGTGCCCCGCGTGTCCCCCGGGGGCTGCGTGGACACGGCGTGGACACAAGAGTGCAGAATAAGCTATAAGCGTGTAATGAGACACCACCGGTGTATAAACGGCACTCATAACTTTTGACACTCGCATTGCAAAGCTTTTGGAGTTGCGCATCCTCGTCACGCACCTTGACACAGACGATCACTCAGCTGATTCTCGTTACGCCGGACCTGATGTTAGCTCTTAATTTAAGGAACAAGGGGCGCTTTTAAATGATTAGTTGAAGCGTAGCAGTACTTTCCGAGATCGCGTATCCATTTACATCTTCTGTTCATGTATCCATGTTATCAGCAAGCATAGCTAAATGATTTGGAATCCGACATCTTATATATATTTATGGTACATATTCATGGCATTTCGAGACTGTTGGATAATTTGTGTTTAATAAAAAGAGTTCCATAATTATTAATTGGCGTCTCTTGTGAATGCGCCGCGTGAACTCTGGGAACAAAGGCGTCAGAATTATATGGGGATAGGGACCGAGGGGGATGGGGGCCGAGGGGGACGGGGGCCAAGGGTGACGGGGACCAAGGAGGATGGCGACGAAGGGGGGTGGGAGCCAAGGGTGACGGGGACCAAGGGAGACGGGGACCTGAGATGGGGACCAAGGGACATTCCAATTGGGATCAGTGCAAGGGTGGACCTCACACTCGGCCCTCATAGATGCATCTCACGCACACAGAGACCTCACTCATTTGGTCTCACTCACTCGGTGACCTAAGAACCCCGAATAGCCTTGTAGCAGACTGCTGGGGCAGGTGCTTGACATACAAGGGGGTGAGGGGCTAACAGTCGGCCTGGTCGCCTTTGTCTCCCCAGGGCTCATGTTTACACACTGCAGCAGGTTTTCATTTAAGGCTGCATTGACCTACATGAGGTGTGGGCCTGGTTCAAATACACGTCACCGTTATCGGTTGCGAGTGGGAATTAAAATTCGGGTCGCCGGGTCAAGCAGTGCAGTGCGCCTCGCCGCGCCACCATCGCTGTCCACGACACCGTGTGACCTTACACAGGGGACGTTGCTCTGGTTCACACACGGATCCCATAAGGGCCCCACACACGGTCCTTCTTCATTGGTCTCCGCTCACTGGACTTGCCGCTTGAGGAGATGCACTCCAATCTTGATTTGAAGCTTTCGTGACTGCAGGAATCCATACTCTTTTGTTCTTTCGGTAAAGTTACGTAGTTAGAACTAAAAGAAAATAAATCACGACGTTCGATTGCAACACAAGCTCTCTCTCTCTCCCACTTCAGCAATGTTTTCTTGCCGTGGTTTTCCCACCTGATGATGATTGCTTGTGTTGCAATCGAAACGTCGTGATTTGTTTTGTTTTATTTCTAATTACGTGGCCTTTACCGAAATCACCAAAGAGTCGAGATGCACTCCGTCCTCCTCCCGGGCTCGTCATCCCCACCAGGCAGCACGGAGGGGGCTGCGGAGTCAGTCGCGGGGTGGGTTGGGGCTGTGGCATGAGTTTCTCTGGAACCGTCGTTTCATATGCTGGGATCGTTCGTGGTTTGTGGTGTGGGTGCGTGTGGGCGACACCCTGGACAGGCAACGCACTCCTCCACATTGCGCGATTCACCTAAGGTCGACGGTGCCCCTGGACAGGTGACCCAGCCGGGATTGGGCGGCACAGCCAAGGACGGGCGATGCCACAGCGCAAGCCTCGCTTATAAAAACCAGCAACAATGCGGGGGGGGGGCTTTTTTAATAATTTTTTTTTTAATTTCCTTTAAAGGTAATATACAAGTCACAGTGATTTAGGGAACTTCCCTACAGCTATAAAGTCCACAAAATGCGTAAAACACATGACTAATAACCTTAATTGTTAAAACTAACACAACTAGTACAAAGTTCACAACCTCACGGCCCAATAATAATCATGATGATGATGGTGGTGGTGATGGTGGTGGTGATGGTGGCGATGGTGGTGAGACAGCGATGCAGGCGGCGCGAGGAGCTGGGCCTTTCCGGACCCACGAACGTTGAGTGGAGTCTGGGACCCCTCGAACCCCCTACCCCCCCGAGGAGGCCCCCCACTGTAAGAAGCTAGAGGGCGTACAACCCCCATCCCTATCACTCTGACGAGGGTGTTGGGGAAAGGGAATAGAGAAGATCTTGCTACGCACGGTCCGTGACACCGGCTCAGACTTAACCAAGAAATGAAAGGTGGGTGGGGGGGGGGGCATCCCACCCCAAGTACACTGGGGTTGGAGGGCCCCCCCCCACACCAGTTTGATTTGTGCCAGGACAAGGTGACCCCCGGTGACCCCCACTGCTGCAGAGGAATGATCTCCGGGTGTCCCGCATGCACATGGGGGTTCGGTGCGCTGACCGTCCGTGCCTGTGCAGTGATTAGCATTCCCTGGAAGGACGAGCTTTGAAACTTTCCGCACACCGGGAGAAAACCCAGCCCAGGGGTTGTAGGGGGGGGAAAGGTCGGGGGGTCCTAAACTCCTCACCCCTTTGTTTCGACACGGAGAACCCCGTAGACACCGTAGCCCGCTTGTGGAAGAAAACGAATAAAAAAAATACAAACAGCTATGCTAATGCGTTACATAATCAACGTTTAACATTGTACGCTTTAACCCATTGCGTCTAATAAATATCAGGAATAAATCCGCATTTTCTGCCCCACGTGCTCACTCTTCCCACTCGCCGATCCCATCCGACGCGGAACCTGGTGGCCGATCAGGGTCAAGGTCAGGGCTCTGGGTCATGGCATGACTAAATGGGCATTTGAACGCTGCCCAAACTGAGAGGACGTCCGAGCACTCGCAGCTGTGGCCTCTCTCTCGGTGCCCTCGGGTGGCGCCCGCAACTCTCTTCCCACGCCAGGGATGCATGCCCCCCCCCACTCCAGGCCACCGTTCGAAGCTGTGCACCCTCGTCGCTCCGCGTTTAAAATGTGATTCAGCCTCGACCACCTTTGTCACCACGGACTTTGCTTCACCGAGCAAAATGTGACCCCCCCCCCCCGTCTCAATCCACCCTCCCACATTCACCGCAGTTGTGCGCTCATCGCTCTTTTCATCTCTACCGCAGGAGGGGAATTCTATTTGCTCCCAGAGGCGTGGCGTCATGCCCCTCCAGGGGGCATATGACCCGGAAGGACACCCTGGCCAGACTTACCCCAACACCCACCTGCCTACCCTCGACACAATGGGCATCACCGGCACCAGCAGCAGCCAAAGGCGGCAGAGCTTATGTTGTTTAAGAGTTCACGCCACGAGGCCAATTTTGGAAAATTACCATCGTTAGCGCCGCCCACTGCTCCCGGCGCAAGTTCAGGAGCCTCCCGCGTCCCACGGGGTCGCGGGAGAGGTCGGGCCTGATTATGGATCATTTGACATCACGATGTCCACTTATCACCCACGGTATATAATTTGTAACTGGTTCCGAACCCTCGCTGGGCAATCACGATAACGTCTGTCAAAAAGAAGCACATTCAAACACGAGAAATGTATAAAGTGTTTTTTTTATAAACGTCCTCGTGTTGTTTGACTGGTTTACACATCAGCGCTGTTCTGTTGCCGGGGAAACCCAGAGCCGAGGGCCTCGCGCCTCAACAAGCGGCAGTAAACAACACGGCCTCTCTACTCCGGCACACGCGGGGATTCGGAGAGAGCGCGCCGCCGCCTCCGCCGTCTCCTCGAATGTTCTGTGATGAAACGAGGACAGGACGCGGTTCCATCTACGTTTAGCCAAACGTGGACATTCATCACGCCATGCCGGCTCTGCGTGGCCAGCGGAAGGGTTAAAACGGACGCACGGGACGTGACGTGCATTACTGCGCGCTCTCTCGACGGGCACGGATACGCACGCGCACACGCACACACACACGCGCACACACACACACACACACGGACGCGCGCGCGCACGCCGGGACGCGTCCGGCTCTGCTCACGGCCCCCCCCCCCCTCACCCACACGCATGCACCCACTGCCCCCCCCAGCCAGCCCTACGCCCCCTTCCTCCCACCCGCGGCACCATCCTGCTGGGCAGCAGAGGGAGGGGACCCCCGGCCGACCAGGGGAGTGGAGGGCGGGGGGGCTATTTCCCCCGGCCGTCGTCTGCCCCGTCGCGGCCCATGGGGTTGTGGGCTCCGCCGCCGCCGCCCCCCATCCCGTCTCTCTCCGCCTCAGTCTTCCCAAGGCCGGGCGAGGGGGTGTGCGGAGGGTGCGCCACCACGGGCGCCAGCCCGTGCGTGATGGGCATCATTCCATCCACACCGCCGGGCATGCCCACCATGCTGCCCGGAAACCTGCACGAGATTGGGGGGGGGGGGGGGGCAGATACAGAGACACGCGCGCACACAGATGAGGAGACGGGTCAGCGCAGCACATTTCTGTGGAGGAAGCAGCTACCGTGCAGCCATGCCCTCCAACAGGAGTCAAATAAAAGCACGGGGCAGCAAAGCGAGGCGCGCAAGGCGGCAACGGGGGCTCGAACGCTCGACGCCCTTAAGTCATGGCCGCCGTAGCATAGGTGCCTGCGTCTTTGCAGCTGCGTGCCACGAAGCTGGCAAAGACTGGGAGGCCCTCAACTCCCCCGTGACCTTCACACTAGTTTAACCCACGAGAGGGATTTCATCATCAATGCTCGCAGTGCTGCTTCGCAGTCCTCGCTTGAAACCGTCCCCGTGATCCTGGTGGTCCCCGGTGGGTGTACCCCGTGATCCCCCTGGTCCCCATGATCCCCGCGGTCATCATTATCCCCGTGGTCTCGGCGCACCTGTACGCGGCCCCGTTGAGTTCGGGGTGCACAGCGCCGGGGTCCATGGGCGCCCAGTGCGACGCCGCCGTCGGGAAAAACTCCTTGTTCACACAGTTCTTGAGGGCATCAGGGATGCGTCCTGAGTACACACACGCACGCAATTACAAAAGATCCTCCCCCCCCGTAAAGCCTTTCACAGGCCATGAAAGGAAAGTGCTGTTAGCGAGCACCTATAAAAGCCGGCACGGCACACGAAGAGGGGGTTGTGTGGCCAGCAACACCCCCAGTCACCTTGTCTCCCAGAAACTAAAGTTTACACACCGCTCCAAGTATTCATTTAAGGCTGAGTCGACCTAGGGGAGGCCCAGGACCAGTCCAGATATTCGCTATTGTTATTGGCCCTGAGTGGGAATCGAACCCGGATGGCGCTGTGTTTGTAGTGCAGTGCGCTAACCACTGCCCCATCGTTCCCCACACAATTACACACAACTGTGGCCATTTAATCATCCGGAAAAATGCCTGATTTCATACAATCTCAGGCGCCAAACTGAGTTGAGCCTAGACAGTCATTGGATGGGCGCCCACCATAGACGTAACAGCTGTCGTAGACTGTTGGGGGCTACGTTGTGAGTAGAGCACGGTGCAGCAAATCCATTGTTGTACTGTACGATGCTACATCTCCACTTTCCACCTTCACGAGCCCACACTGACCATTAACTACTAATAGACAGTGATGACACCACTGCACTTGTGCCAGGCTAGGTGCATTTGGAGGCTATCACGTCAAGTTTTGAAGGCTCAGTGCTGGCAGGAAGGAGGTCAGGGGACAGACCCAAGTGTTATGGATTGACTGAGATGACTGACAGCAGCACCGCCTGTGCTCCCCACAGTGCCAATTTACTGTGTATTAGAGGGACTGGCATTTTTCTCACTGTTGTTAGTGTAGCATTTATAAATGTTAAACAAAATCGCCAAACTAAACTAAAAAACTATCAGTGGCTGGCAACCTCCTCACCAAAAAACAGATTCCCCAAATAGCCTACACACGGTGGTGGGGCGAGCGCTGTTAGCGAGCACCTATGAAGGCCGGGCCAGCGTACAGGAAGCACCACGGATCTTGGGTCTCCCCGTTGCTGATATTGAACACACCGCAACGGTTATTCATTTTAGGCAACGTAGGGGAGACCTAGGACTGCTTCAGATATTCATCGCCGACATTAGCCATGAGTGGCAATCGAACCAAGGGCCACCAGGTTCGTAATCCAGCATGCTAACCACTATGCTATTGCTCCCAAGACACACACACGCACGCAGGAGCTGATGTGCAGCTCCGGGCACCAACTGTTGGCTCTGTTATCACGATGCTTGTTTACGCAAGCCTTACTGAATCTCAAGGCTATTTTGGAGCGTCTCACTGAATTTTCAGTGGAGGGCAATGTTGTTGATTTTTATTCCCAATTGAGTAATTCTCAGGCCACATTTTACAGCATGTTTGGCCACGACCCAATTACATTGTGTGTACATTTTTAGCTATGAAGGAAACCCGAAAAAACCCGGGAAAGGAACCGAGAGCGCTTCTTGCTGCGAGGCACGGAGCGTTACCATTGCGCCGTTGCCCTGCCACTCAGCACTCATCTACTGCTGCGGCGGCAGGTGGAGCGAGAAGCGTCCCCGAGGCAGAGGGAGGCGTGTGCGGTGGCGGCGCGGGGGACTCGGGAGCCGGAATACAAATTACACGCCTCGTAATTGCTCTGTGGAAGCTCCACAGGAATCGTGACACGAGCTCTCGTCCCCTCTCTGAGGACCCCCGTCGTGGCGCCGAGGACAACGAGCGTCCGAGGGGCGGGGGAGTGGAGCGCCAGGGTAGGGGAGGGGGGGTGGGAGGGCAGGGGATGCGCGTCTCCGGCAGGATTCTCCCCCCCCGCCCGGTAGCGTTCGCGCACGTGGACGCAAAGTCTCCCCCATGCCGGCGCACGGAACGTACGCGCCGTGGATTTGGGGCGCACGCAGGAGCTGGTGGGTTCACGCGTGGGGCTTTACGAGGGTGTGGGTTGGGATCAGGATGGTAGATGGGATCGGGATGGATTGAGGTACGTGTAGGTGCATAAGGGTTCAGGGTGGGTTTAGGATTTACGTGGATACAGAGCGCAGGAGGATTGAGTGGTGGCTGCATACCGGTGATGGCCCGGCGGACCTCCTTTGCAGCTTCCTCACGCATCTCCAGGGAGGCCTGCTCGCTGTACCAGGCCGTGTGGGGCGTGCACAGCAGATTGGGGGCATCCTTCAGGGGACCCTGGTTCACGCTGCGCGGGGGACACGGGGTGACACGCGGGCAACGGTCGGCATTTATTGACGATGGCAGCGCGACAGAAGCGGTGATGGGACTGAGCGTGGAGAGGGCGAAGAAGGGGGGGGGGGGGGGGATCCAACAGGGTGGCAGACGGTGCGACAGGTGACGATGGGGTCGCAGGCCGCGTGGCGGACGCGCCTGACGCCGTGGCGCCCACCTGTAGGGCTCCATCTCGTGCACGTCGAGTGCTGCTCCCCGGATGCGGCCCTCCTTGAGCGCGAGCGCCAACGCCTTCTCGTCCACCAGCCCCCCGCGCGCTGTGTTCACCAGGAACGCACCCTGCCGCATCTGCACCGTCGCCACCGTCGCCGTTAACACCGAGACGGAAACACAAACCCGCGGAGCTCGCCGAGGGGGTTGTGACGAGGTGGGATTAGAAAGAGCGATGCTTCTGGTGGTGGGTGTTGGAAATGTTGGTAATAATGAAGTTGGCGGCAGTGGTCATGATAGTGTTGGCGGTTGATGGTGTTCGGTGGCGACGGTGACGACGATGTTTTGCGACGACGGCGTTGGCGGTGGTGTCGGTTATGGCAGCGTTGGTGAAGGTGACAATCGTGACGGGTGGTAACGGAGATGATAGGTGGCAGCAGCGACGGTGGGGAGCGCCAGTGAGTTTGGCGGCGACGGGACCGTGATGTTGCGCCAGCTCACCTGCTTGATGGTGAAGTCGTTGATGAGGTGGTGGTTGTGCTCGTTGAGGCTGCAGTGCAGGCTCACGCAGTCGCTGTTGTACAAGAGGTCCTGTAGGGTGGCCACCCTCTGGATGCCCAGGGAGCGTTCGACCCCGTCGGCGAGGTACGGGTCGTAGAACATCACGCTGAAGCCAAAGGCGCGCGCGCGCAGCGCCACGGCCTGCCCCACGCGGCCTGAGCGCGCAGCGGACAGGCGGCTCAAAAAGGCGTCGCTCACGGTTTCGCCGCAGCACTCGCACAGCACACGTCACCGCCACACCACCCACCTCGGTATTCAACACCACTCGCCACGTTTATTACAGATCAACAGACACTGCAGTACCCATCACAAAGAAGCGGCACTCCACAGCAGACGCAGCTCAATCTGTCACCACTGTTCACCGCATCACTGGCAAACCAGCACTACCATACTGCGCAACACACGGCTCACAGCGCAAACGCCGCCGCAGCAAGACGCCACGCAGCGAGACACTCGCGCAGTGTGCGGCCGGTGGAGTTAACACCGCCGCACGTCCCTCCAGTGTCGGCACGGCCCTCGTCCAGTGGTTGATTTCGCCCTCCAGTGGAATCAGCGGCTGCTGACAAGCCGCGGTGACGAGTGCTACGATTGCCTGGGCGCGGGCTGGCTCCCCGGCAGAGCGCGCGGTCGATATCGCAGACGCCGCATTAATTCCACGGAATCTCTCCCCCGCGCGTTTCCTTTAACCCCAATGATGCCGGCAGTGGAGACGGAGTTGAGACACGAGTGAGAGGAGAAGTATCGAGTGGAGAACTGGTGAAGTGGTGAGTGAAGATAGTGGATAATAGGTGAGTGGTGAGTGAGAGAGTGGAGAATAGGTGAGTAGTGAGTTGAAGTGGAGAAAACGTGAGTGGTGAGTTAGAGTGGAGAACTGGTGAAGTGGTGAGTGAGAGAGTGGATAATAGGTGAGTGGTGAGTTAGAGTGGAGAACAGGTGAGTGGTGAGTTAGAGTGGAGAACAGGTGAGTGGTGAGAGTGGAGAACAGGTGAGTGGTGAGAGTGGAGAACAGGTGATTGGTGAGAGAGTGGAGAACAGGTGATTGGTGAGAGAGTGGAGAACAGGTGAGTGGTGAGAGAGTGGAGAACAGGTTGAGTGGTGAGTGTGAGAGTGGAAAACAGGTGAGTGGTGAGAGAGTGGAGAACAGGTGATTGGTGAGTGAAAGAGTGGAGAAAACGTGAGTGGTGAGAGAGTGGAGAATAGGTTGAGTGTCGAGTGTGATTGTGGAAAACAGGTGAGTGGTGAGAGAGTGGAGAACAGGTGAGTGGTGAGAGTGGAAAATAGGTAAGTGGTGAGAGAGTGGAGAACAGGTGAGTGATGAGCGATTGAGTGGAGAATAGGTGAGTGGTGAAAATGCAGAACATGTGAGTGGTGAGAGAATGGAAAATGGGTGAGTGGTGAGTGAGTGGAGAACAGGTGAGTGATGAGTGAGAGAATGGAAACAAGTGAGTGGAGAACAGGTGAGTGGTGAGAGTGGAGAAAAGGTGAGTGGTGGGTAAGAGAGAGTGGAGACTAGGTGAGTGGTGAGTCAGAGTGGAGAATAGATCAGTGGTGAAAGAGTGGACAACAGTTGAGTGGTGAGCGAGTGGAGAACAGGTGAGTGGTGAGTGAGAAAGTGTAGAATAGGTGAGTGGTGAGCGAGTGGACAACAGGTGAGTGGTGAGTGAGAGAGTGGAGGATAGGTGAGTGAGAGTGGAGAACAGGTGAGTGGTCAGTGTGAGAGTGGAGAACAGGTGAGTGGTGAGTGAGTGGAGAACAGGTGAGTGAGAAAGTGTAGAATAGGTGAGTGGTGAGCGAGTGGAGAACAGGTGAGTGTGAGAGATTGGAGAATAGGTGAGTGAGAGGGTGGAAAACAGGTGAGTGGCGGGTGAGAGTGAAAAACAAACAGGTGAGAGAGAGTGGAGAACAGGTGAGTGGTGAGAGAGTGGAGAACAGGTGAGTGATGAGTGAGCGAGTGGAAAACAGGAAAATGGTGAGTGGAGAACAAGTGAGTGGTGAGAGAGTAGAAAATAGGTGAGTGAGAGCGTGGAGAACAGCTGAGCAGTGAGTGAGAGAGTGGAGAACAGGTGAGTGGCAAGTGACAGCGTGTAAAAAAACAGGTGAGAGTGTAGAACGAGTGAGTGGTGAGTGAGAGAGTGGAGAACCGGTGAGTGGTGAGTGAGAGAGTGGAGAACAGGTGAGTGATAGAGTGGAGAAAAGGTGAGTGGTGAGTGGAGAATAGGTGAGTGGTGAGAGTGTGGAGAACAGCTGAGTGGTGAGTAAGTGGAGAGTGAGTGAGATGGTTTAGGTGAGTGTGGAGGAGTTGACGTGAGTGAGTGGTAAGAGTGTGGTGGATTATTCAATTCATATTAAAACATTTCACCGAGAAAAAAAACCATTTGAATTGCAAGGGTGTCCAGTGTGTGGACTGACACATAGCAAGCACGTAACGACGCATGGTGTGCACGCGTGTTAAGCGGGAGGAGTAAGCGTAGGAGAACGTATTCGTGTTTCACTTAGTATCGTTATCAGCATTAGTGATTATCAGCGTTACTGGTATCAGCTCTAACGTTATCAGTGGTAGGGTGAAGCAGTATCTGTGATTTCAGTGTATATCAGTGTTACCAGTGGCTATCAGCACGAAGCAGTTATGTTGTATCAGTCAGTACAAGTGGTCACCAGTGTCAATCACTGTGCAGAGGTGAGCGACGGTCTCTGTGTGTATCAGTGACTGCCGGTCTTGGTATCGGTGAGCGCCAGCTTCGGTATCGGTAAGCACCGGTCTTGGTGAGTATCGGTGAGCACCGGTCTCGGTATCGGTGAACGCCGGTCTCGGTATCAGTGAGCGCCGATCTTGATGAGTAGCGGTGAGCGCCGGTCTCCCTGTGTATCGGTGAGCGCTGGGCTCGGCGAGTAAAGTGGTGCAAACTCACCAAAGCCGATGATGCCAAGCGTCTCCCCGCGGATGCGCGCGGCGCCAGATGCCATCTCGCGCACCTGCTCAACGGACGCGACGCGTGTGCCCTCACGCAGGTTCTGGTGCAGCCAGGCAGTGCGCCGGTACAGGTTGAGGACGTGCGACAGCGTCGAGTCGGCAGTCTCCTCCACGCACGCTCCCGGCACGATGCTCACCGCGATTCCTGCACGGAGGGGGAAAAGGTCGGCTTGAGTAACGACATCTCCGGACGCCGTCACAAAACCCACCCACCACCGCGGAATCCTTCGGCTGCCTCGGGGATCTCCGCCCTGGGAAACTCGATCTGGAAAACGATGGCGCACGGCGAGGACCGGTGTCGGTGACGCTCGGTGGGTGCTCGTCACCAGGTGGTGGGGGGGAGGAAGCCCTCAGTCCGCCCTGCAGGTTCTCAACCGGTGCCCCGTCTTCCGAAACCGCGGTTCCGTTTGATGTAAAGAAATGTATTAGGTTTTTTCGCAGCGGCCCATAGACAAAACACTTCGCGCCTCGGCATTCGTGCCGCGCGACAGCGTAAGCCGCTTGTAATAAATTTGCGCCGCGAAGGCGTGAATTCTGGGGGTGTTCTTTTTGCGCCGCGGCTTCTCTCCCTCTCACGGTTTTGTTTTAATAAGAGGGAGAGCGCGGGCGAGACTGCGCGCCCCGTCTACTGCGTGAGTATCCGTGACAGAGGTTGGGAGGGCGGCGTGCGGCGCGCGGAATTAATGACTGTGGCACCCGAGGCTGCGTCGACACCCGCACCCCCCACCGGCCCCCGACCCCTCCCCTCCTAAACGCTCGCCCACGCTCCACTAGCACAGCACACGAGCACCATTAACCGCTTGGCACAGCGAACAGACACAGCGCTCCCCCCCCCACGAGACTGCTCCACGCAGTGCTGCTCCAAGCGGCACCCCCGCTCACGCAGTTACACAAACGCACTACCACGCACGCAGTTACACAAACGCACTACCACGCACGCAGTTACACACACGCACCACGCAGTTACACACACGCACCACGCAGTTACACACCATGCACACAGTTACATACACACGACACGCAGTTACATACGCACGCAGTGACACAAGCACACCACGTATGTAGTAACACAACACTTCCACAATAATGGTTTTTGGGTTAGATCGCGCAAGTATAAATGTGTCGTAACCCTCCACCACCCGAGAGAGCCAGTAAGGTTTGTAACGTAAACAACGTGCCAATTAATTAATACTTCAGCCCACCGATGCTGGTAATTACATCCAGCATCATCGTGCGATTTGCCCGATGATGCGAAAAGTCACTCAAATTCTAAATGTTGTGGATTGAAGTAGTTACTAATTGGTGCGTTGTTTACATGAGTAACCTTACTGGCTGTGTCGGATGGTGGAGGGTTACGACACATTTATACTTATGCGATTTAACAAAAAAAAAACCTTGATTATGAATAATATTGGTCACGAAAGCCTGTGTTAAACACATCTCCATGTAGTAACTGCCACACACGCATGCACAAATACTCACACCACCATGCAAGCAATTACACAAGCACAGCACACGAGGGGGTGGTTGGCCAGCACCACGCCCGGCCACCTTTGTTTACACATTATACTCGGTACTCATTTTAAAGCAGTCGACCTAGGGGTGGCCCAGGTCCGGTTCAGTTAATCGTTACCGGTGTTGGTCGTGAGCGGGATTCGAATCTGGGTCACTGGGCTTGTAGTGCATCGCGCTAACCGAGATACTACCGTTTCCCACAGGCACACACGCAGTTACACACATACAACGCATGCATTAACACCAATACATACCTTGACATAACACACACAACACCATGCACGCAGTTATACATCACCACCACCACGGCATATGCAACCACGGCACGAAGACAAAGATCCCCCATATAGCCTTAGACTGTTGGGGGCAAGTGCTATTAGCGAGCACCTATGAAGACCAGCAAGGAACACGAGGTGGGTGGCCAGGACCACGCCCGACCTCCTTCATCTCCCCAGTGGCGATGTCTTTACACACCGCACCAGGTACTCATTTGAGGCAGAGCCGACCTAGGCGAGGCCCAGGACCGGTTCAGTTAATCGTCGCTGGTGTTGGCCGTAAGTGGGAATAGAACCCACACGGGTCACCAGGTTCATAGCGCAGTGCGCTAACAGCTACTTACCGCTCTGGATGTGTTACACACAGTAACACATACACAGCACCACGCCCCAGCACTATGCCACACAAAACCAGTCACACACATCACAATAGTACAAAACAAAACTAAGCCACTCCACCATAACAAAACAAACCATGACAACGCACACTACCATAACAATGTACACACCACCAGAGCAGCACACACATCCCATAAACAGCACAGCAACAACACAATGACGCAACGTACAGCAAAAGACCACAACAGCAACACGTTATAACAGAACCAGTCAAACACAGCAGCAAAAACCACACGCACAACAGCAACACACTAGCCACACAAACCACTAAACACATCACAGAAAAGCACACCAATACACACAAACACTGACATGCGAAACAAGACACACACAGGCCCCTTGGGTGTGGTGCACTCCTCCGCCTCCTTCATCGAGCGTCAACGAGACCCCAGTGGCCCGGTGGGGCGTGTGGCGGCGCGGGTGATTAACCACACGCGCTCCGCCCCGATAAAAACCACGTCCGGAATCGTCCCTGCGGGTGAAGGGGGTCGTTGTAGGGGGGGGGGGGTATGGGGGAGGGGAAGCGGGGCGGGGTGAAGAGGCTCGCGGGCCCCGCAGGCTAGAGTCCCGCGCGGTGGAGAAGGCAGCGGCGGTGGGGTTAAGAGCGAGCGGAGACTAATGAACCCAACAGAACGGGACGTGCGACGCGTGAACACCCACGGCACTGGACGACTGCCAACCCCGCTGTGCCGCCAGTTCCCCCTGTCTGCATTCACGCAGCAGCTGCGATTTTTAAAAGTGGTGTCCGTCTCACTACTGCTGTGGTTCAGGGGCAAACAGCCACGCTGCGGAAGTTGGGGGGGGGGGGTGTTCCACTTGCGTACGGTTCCCAGCGACTGTTAGTTAGATCACAGATACAACCTAACCCGGGACTTGCTAATGTCATCATCAGAGTTGCCACGATGTACGCAGTACCGACAAACCCGATCGATTTGACCCATGTTTAACTTTGACCACGGCCCCAAAAATGTTGTGGGCATCTCTTAGCCACGTCTCAACATGTTGCGGGTGTGGGTGGCAGGCGCGAAACTCCAAGTGGTCGTGCTCTTGGCATCACGGACTAAATTCACCCCACCGTTGGTTCACTTCACAATACACTATCAACATTTGGTGCGCCTAGTTCGATTTCCCGACCATGGCTTCCAAACAGCGGCGAGTGATGTCTGAACCGGTCTTGTTTTAACCAAACAGCATTGACTAACGTGGCGAAGTATGGTCAATAAGGCGTGGGGAGGCCTTCATCCAGCAATGAATTGGCAAAGGGCCTTTGTTATTATTTTATTATACGGCAAAAAATAAACAAAGCATTAAAAAAATGTAGACATGGAACAGAACAAAACCCTTCAGGACTGCTGGGGAAAATGTGGTTAGCAAGCACCGATTAAGACCGACTCGACACAATCCCCGCACTCCGAGCACACGTGCTGCACGGGTATACCCCAAGGGGAGGTGTGTATGGGAAATTAGATGGGTATCCTCCCACAGGCCAAACTGTCAAAGGGCGCCAACATGCCACCGAATGAGCGGCTGCATCTGTGTCCACGTTGTGTAAACTGTGAGCTGCGTGCACGAACGCCGACGGAGGTGCTCGTGAAAAACCAGATTTCCGGGGGAGAGGCCAGAGGGCGGGCGGGCGAGGTGGGACGCCCGATGGTGAGACGGGGCGCGCGCTGGCACGCGGCACCACACACCCCGCTCAGAGACCATTCCCCCACCACGCGATTATAACGAGCGAGCAGACAGGGGTCACCTCGGGGTCATGGCTACCCTTGCTCTGCTGCCCGCACGGCACGACCTCCAACAGCCTTCACTCCTCCTACACCCTGCATAAACCATTCACCCCGTCTCACACCAATGGCTCATCACTTACCTCGTCGACATCTCACAAAAGACCGACAAAGCTTTACAACTCCATACAGACCACAAACACCCTACGCACGTCACGAACCACACACAGATCTCACACCCCGCATGTACACTTCACAACTCACACAGAGTGCACTGCATCTGATGTGCAAATCTCATGTAAAAAATGACAACTCAAGTCCCACGAAAAACACTCCTCATACACCCAAACACCCGTTACACACACCTCACCACACATCACACACCACCCATTGATGCCTTGCATTGAGACAAACACCAATGATGTCTCCAAGGCAGCGGTTGGGGGGAGAGTGGGTGGGGGGAGCCGAGAGTTGAGCCACCATCCCGAGTTTCCACCGCCTGAACCAAAGAATACACTCGGCAGCCATGACCAAATAGCGATTACAATCTCAACGGTGAGAAAAAAACAATCTCCAGCACAACAGCAGCACCGCCAACGTGGCGGTGGACGAGTTAAAAAAAGATGCAGCGGGAGGCCGGGTGTTTGCACGTGCGTCCGTTTTGTAAAATAAAAAAACTGCTCCCCTCCCTCCCAACCCCCCCCCCCACGTGCGCCGAGATTAATTTCCAACATCTTGTTAGCGCTCGCGCGTGCACCGGGACCCACTGGATTGCCGCCATTACTCAATTAGAGCAGCAGAAACAACGCGCGGGAGGGCGATCAATAAGCGGCGCTTCAACGGCCTCGCGCCGCAGGTGCTCCCGGGGGTCTTAGGGACCCGGGAATGAGGGGGGACCCGACTGCTCCGCCGGAGGCCCTGTGGGGGGTTCAACCTGCGCCGTCTTGGAAAGCTGCGAGCAAGGTTTGAATGGCCGCTTTGAACGAGTGGCTGTGAAGTGGTGCGTTGTGCATTCCCTGTGTTGTGCCGACCAAAAACACAGGAAGTCTCTCTCCCTCCACGCGGAGACTGCGCTCTCAGTCGTCACACGTGGGAGCATTTAACTCTAGGCCAGGGCTCACGCATGTGTGTAATGACACGTGTGTGGTGTGTGCTTGTGTGCGGGCGCGTATTGACAAGTACGTGTGTACAGCTATATAATCCAAATCCGAGAGCGCGACGGGTGGCTGCTTCGGAATTGAGTTTTCACGTCGACAGTGACAGGGTCGGGGCCCTGAGCCCCTCACGCCACAACCCTCCTGGGCCTCCAGTGGATAGGCTGCCAACAGCCCAGATGCTCCAGCCCAGCTCGGTCCATCCCCCACCCCCACACCCACCACTAGGCTTCCCACGACCCCCCCTGCCCTTGCCTCCCTGCTGACACTCTCAAACCCCCCCTACGCCCCCATCCACTGCCATGGACTTTCACTCACCCACCCTCCCTCTCGTCTAGCCGCCAGCTATTGCCCTCCTCCCACTCCTCCTCCCCCAGCCCTCACCTGCCCCCACCCACTGCCGAGCGACTGCATAAGCTGCCTAATGGGCTCTGGGTTCTGCACAATCTCCGCCATCTGGCGGCACACAGCCTCATTACCACCGGGCAGTGCCCTCTGAGCCCCCACAGCACGGAGCAACCACGCAACGACAAGGCGCAACCACATGGCATAGCCACGCAACCGCATGGCACAACCAAGCAACCACATGGCACAACCACGCGGCACAACCAGGCAACACAACCACGTAACAACATGGTACAACCATGCGACAACATGGCACATGGTACAACCAGGCGACACAACCACGCAACCAAATGGCCAATCACAAAACACCATAACCAACCACACAACCATACAATGACAAAAGAGACAGCCAATAACACAACCAACCAGGCAATCAACATGACCAACCACAAAAACTGCTCAACCACAAAATGTCCATTGCAACCAAGTACACACCAATCAAAAAACAACCATACAACAACGCACACAATCAAGCACTGGTGAAACATACAACCAAACACATGCCAACCATACAATCAACCAAACACTAACCACACACCAACCATATAACCAACTGCACACCAGGCACAATCACACCACACATTCACCAAAACAACCACCAAATCACACGCTCAACCAACCACGACACTCGCCTGCTGTTGAAAAACCTCTCCCCCCCGCATGAATTATGGAGCTATTTTTAAACCCCTCCCCTAACCGAGGTCAGCGCGATGCCCGGTGGGCTCCCCTGAGTCGCGCGCGAGTGTTGTTTTGAAGTCATGAGCAGCTCCTGACTCGGGAGAACAATCCCGACGAGGCCTTAAAACTCAGAAACGTGCACAGACACGAGACCGACGCCGCGGGTAGGGGACAATGTCAACAGGAGGGGGTAAGGTAGGGCGCGCGACCGAGCGGTGCGGGTTCCGATTTGGCTTTCCCTCTGGGTGCACGGAAAAACCAAGTGCGGGAGGGGGGGGCCCGTGGGCACGCGGTTTAAGTGCGTGGCCTCAGCGACGTGCGTGACATCTTAAGGGCTGCAAGGGGGAAAGTAAATAAATGAGGAAGCGCTGCAGTCACCGTCAAAAAATTAATACTGAATTGGGGAACACTGCTCAGGCATTTTGGACCACAGCTCGTAAATGAAAGATTTCATCGGATATCTCCTGCACGGTGTGCACTGCGCGATTTGTGTATGATGTGCTGTGTGTGAGGCGATGTGTGCATTTTGGTGATGTGCTGTGCGTGTTGTGTGATGAGTTGTGTGTTGTATGCTGTGTGCATTGCGTGATGTGCGGTGCGATGTGATGTGTGTTGTGTGGTGCGTGCTGTGTTATGTGCTGTGTATCGTGTTTTGTGATATCCCGCATGTGTTGTGCAATGTTTGTTGTGCGTTGGTGGAGCAGTAGTGTAGTGGTTAGCGTGCTGCGCTACGAACCCAGCGACTCGAGTTCGATTCCCACTCACAGCCAACACCAGTGGGGAAATATCTGAACTAGTTATGGGCCCCCCCTATGTTGAGTCCTCCTCAAATGAGTGCCTAGTGCGGTGTGTAAACATTACCACTGGGGAGACAAAGGCGGCCAGGCGTGGTGTTGGTCACCCACCCCCCCGTGTGCCTTTCTGGCCTTCATAGGTGCTCGCTAACAGCACTTGCCCCAACAGTCTGTTAAGGTTACAGGGGGAATCTTTGTCTTTGTTGTGCGTTGTGTTGTTTGGCAACTGCACTGTGCGCTGTTATTGTTTGTGGCGTCGGATGCACAATGCATCCGCTGTCCCTGGGGCTCGTGTTAGGTGCTGGGCCCCGCTTGCTTCGTCCTGGATTGCGCAGCGCTACTGCACCTCTTACTCTCCTCCCTTGTTGCCCTGCTTAACCTCAATCATCCCACCATTCTACAGAAATCCTAGTTTTTCATTTTTGTAAAGCATCTAGAAATGCGATTGTACTTCAGACGCTTTATGCATTTTAATTGTTCATGTTGTTGAATCGCTGTGCGAGGATGCGTTGCTGTTACCGAGCTCTGCGGCCGATTTAACGTCCACGTTGTCATAGCCGCTGCCGATCCTCACAATGATCCGCAGAGCCTTGAACTTCTCAAGGTCCTCGCGCGTCAGCGTGATGGTGTGATACATCAGCGCCGCCACCGCCTCGTTCAACACCTACACAGGGACCATAGTTGGGTCAGCACAAATGGAGAGACTCGCCGGCTTGCACCGCACCACCCATCACTGCCGTCTCCCCTACCCCCCACCCCAGTTTCAAACTCCTATACCTCTGACACTTTCACGCATCAAGACCTCAGAGCAACCACTGTTGATAACGGCAAGCAAGAACACGGAACTCATTGCAGCAGCGTGTCAAGCGACAGAGTATTGGACTCCCACATTTACACATGCCGATATAAACGCGAGCACGCGCACTTTAAGGGTCTTACGAGGCCGCCGGGGGGGCAGGCACATTAGCGGGAATCGTTAGTGGGCACCGCACCTTCTCGTGGATCTCCTGCGTTGACTGGGCGTCACAGAACGCCACGGTGGCCACGTCCTTGAGGATGGGCATCTCCACCGTACAGTCACGGCCATCGAGCAGCGCCACCAGTGGCCGCGGATGCATCGGGCCGTTGATGATCGGAGGCCGGATACCTGCGACACGCGCAGATGTAGGTCGCTCAGGTCAGTAAACATTGCCACACACACGCACGGGGAATCAAGCACACACGCGCGCGCTCACACAAGTGCAAACACACATTCACACACACGCTCAAATACACATACAAAGACAAACATCCCCATGACAGACTACATCGGATGTCAAGGAAAGTGCTGCTAGCTGGCAATCTATTAAAGTTGGCACGGTGCTCCAAGGGATGGAGGGCTGTCAAGCCTGGCCACCTTTGTCTCTCCAGTGCTGTTTACACACTGCACCAGGCCGAATCAACACACAAACACTTGCTCACACATATACACACATCACTCTCACACACACTTTCAAAAAACTATTTTTTATTTTACCAGGCAAGGTCAAATGAGCTATATAGCTCTTTTTCAGAAGCGACCTGGCCACAAATAATATCCCAATGAAGTGGCTTATCACGTAGAAATTTATAGCAGCCAAATGTTTCTAAATGTGGAGGGAAAAACCGGAGGACCGGGAGAAGATCCACACGACCAAAAATACAATCATCAGGGTCAGGATCGAACCTACGACCTCCTACATACCAAGCGAGGTAGTTAACGCATCTTGCCACCGCGACGCCCTATACGCACACCCCACCCATGACCACACGCTTAAAACACTATAAAAATCATTCAATTTAAATACAGTAGTGTCAAAATAAAATCACACACACAAAAGCAGAATTCGGGACTGACTGTAGCCGAAGCACCTGACGTGCTTCCATTGGTATTGCCGTATAATATACACGGAGCCGATTAGAGAGTGAGTGAGGGGCTGTTCGATTCCACCAGGAGGGTGGGAGAGGTGGGGGAATAGGAAGTAAAAACCGTTCACACAGGCCAATCGTTTGATGTGCACGTGTTACGCACTGGGTGCCACCGCCACCCTTCCTGCCCACGCCGCACCGATCACACACACACCACGCGCACCGCGTACCTACCACACACTCCGTACTTACCACACACACGAGCCCCACGCTGGCCACACATGTATTGTGTCCTTACCCGCTAAGCAGATGTGCAAGCACCTATTCGGATACCCATAATGCCATGCACGCACGATGAGTGCCGAGACAGCCAAATGCGTAACGCGTTTGGTATCGCTCGGGGCGCCTGCATGTTTCTCACAGCACCAAATTAACCGAGCGGGAATCAGAGCGTAAGCTGCAGTGCCAGCAGCTTCCACTCCAAAGGGACAGCTATGCATGTCGGCCTTCCTCTCGCTTCTTGGCCGATTACCATGCGGTAAAACGAAGCTCACCTCACGCCAAGCACAACTTCCCTCACCCCACTGCCGACAGACATTCTCTCTCAGCTCCCCCATACCGCCCCCATTCCGTCTCCTGACCCTCACTCCCTCCCTTTTCTTTCCCTCCCTCCTCCACCCTTATCCCATCTCTCCCCACCTACTACTCTCCCTCCCACTCACTCCCCAGGCTTTCACAGCAGCTCTCTCCCCTGCCCTGCTTAGATGCTGCTTTGACAAGGCTTGAAGTCTCTCTCATTTTTACATCAATACGTTTTGCACAGAGCCACCTTGGCCTGGCTGTGCAAGGGAGCTGTGGGTGGGGAGGGGCAGTAGAGGAGAGAACCTATTGGGAAAACCTACCGCATGACTTAGTGACCTCATCTCTGTTACACCAGGGAATTGTACATCTCTAGGCATTACCTGAGACCATTCCATGTGCTGGATGGGTGAGCAAGTGTTGTTCCTCCTGCCCTTCCTGACCCCCAAAATGCTCTTTTCTTTCCTTTCTGCCAATACCATCCCAGCCTCCGCCCTCGTCTGCAGAGTAGGCGGCAGCTGCCCCTAAGGAACCCATTTAACAATATGATTGTGAGACGCTGAACGGTTGCCCCGCAGCCGCTGCGTCCCCACTCATGTGCCGGGGGAATTTTGCAGTTAGGGACTCGGGGCTCGTCCATTTGCATTGTGACAGGCAATGGTGCTAGCGCCCCCCCCTGCCCAGCAATCATAGAGTGCTGGAGCCTCTGCCACCACACGATGGAGACAAGTGCATGCGATGATTCCAAGACAAGGGTGCTCTGATACGCGCGGCCCCCCCCCCCCGTCACGGACACGCAGGGCCCCCCCCCCGTCACGGACACGCGCGAGGCCGCCCCCGTCACAGACGCACGGGGCCCTCCCGTCACAGACACGCGCGGCCCCCACCCCGTCACGGACACGCGCGAGGCCGCCCACCCCCTGTCACGGACACGCGCGGGCCCCCCCCGTCACGGACACGCACGGGGCCCCCCCCTGTCACGGACACACGCGGGGCCCCCCCCCCCGTCACGGACACGCGCGGCCCCCCCCCCCCGTCACGGACACGCACGGGGTCCCTCTCATGGAGACACGCGGGGTCCCCACTCACACACAGGAAAAAAGATAAACCTGACACCGAGGAGTGTGCGTATCGGCCAATCTCAGTTCACGACTGGATGAAAGACTCCCCAATACCCCATATAACTGCATCCTATTTGTGTTGGCCTCAATTCCATCTCCCCTTTAGTGGGCCTCACTCTAGCTCCCTGCTGCTTCATGATAACAAAGTACGGAGTAAAGATTGAAGGGTATGAGAAAATTCAAACGTGACGCCGATTTATTTTTTGCAGAGCTCAATAATCACGGAGTACTTTATTCTCGCAGACGCAGCACGACGGTATGCTAACACTCCATTTTATGACGCACAAAGCAGTCGAGGAGGAGTAAAGTGGGGCAGCTTCCAGAGCAAAGCGAACATGGAACCGCCGCCGCCGCTCTAATAAGCGCGGCTCTGAGCCGATCCCTGGAGAGGGGCTCCGTTACAGAGCTGGCAGCAAAACCGCTTCCTGCACAGCCCCCCACTTCCCCGTTCCTCCCCCCCCACTCCCAGCTTGCCCTGGGCCACGCAGTTCCACTCGCGCGCCACGATGCACGGCGAGGCACAGGGACCCGAGGTTAAAGTGGGAATGCAGCCACCCCCAGGGTGTCACGCGGCACACGGCAGGGATCACGAGTTGGATCCGCTGTTGAGATTTTGATCGGAGACCATGTGAACGTGGTGTGTAAGCGGAAGAGGGGTTTGCAGGTGGAGAACGATAATTTGAATGAAGACGGAGTGGAGGGATAATGAGCAGCAGTCACAAGAGCGGAGTGTTGCGCTCTTAAATACAACGGGAAAATGTTGAGTTAGAGATCGCGCGTGGAGAACGTCGAGATCTTCAATGGAGATGAGAGTGGCGGTAGTGAGTAGGGGGGCAGAGATGAAGGATGGAGAAGCCGATGCGAGGTTCACTGTCAGTGGGGGAAGACGCTGAGAGGTTTAGAGCCTTATGATGGGGGCCCAGCTCCTGGACACACAAGGCCCCCGAGTGCCCACGGATGCCAAACCACGTATTTATCATGAACATCCGAAGCTTGTGTAACGGGGCGCTCAAGGACGAGTGTGGAAATCAAGATTCACAGCAACACAAAGGCACAACGCCACTGTACACTTGCACTGTACAGAACAAGAGGAACCTCAGACCGCATTCAGCTCTATTATTGGCGCCAAAGCTTCCACCCACTTAGGACACTCAAACACACACAAACAAAACACTGAACTCGTGTTTTGATGACGACACAGAGGTCGCGTGTCCACCAACGCGATTCCGAAGCTTCGCAAACACAACTTTCTAGTAAAGACAAAGTGCGACATTAGCGGCACTGTCCATGATGCCACGAGACCGCTAAGGAGAAGCACCTGTGATTTTAAAGTAAGTTATATCTCTACACTAATTAAACGGCTCCATACGATTGTGGGAGTCTGGGACACGGCCTTGGTGTGCATATCCGACAGAAGAGGGGGGGATCTCACAGAATCCGACAATATTTCACAGGAATGTCACTATATCTCTCAGTAGCCTGACATGCATCTCTCAGCATCTCACGGCGGAATCTCTCCGCACCCAACATGAATCTCAGCACCTCAGAAACATTTGAGAATCTCACAGCAGCAGCACCTCGTGTGTGTGTGTGACCTCCCCACGGTCCTTTTTCGGCGAGGCAGGGGGGGGGTGTGGGTCGTGACCGGTAACCATGGCAACCCCCGCTGTGCGTGAGTCCCATCCCGGTCCCCGCGCTCCTCCTGCACCCATGGCGACCGTCTGTCCACACCCCCTCGTCCCGATCCCCACACACAACAACAGCCCCCACCACCCACCACCACCACCATCCACCCACCACCACCGTCTGCTCACGGCCGTTAACGGTGCCGTGTCACAATTCGCAAGAGGCAGGTCACTGTGTGCCGACAGTGCCGCCGCAGTGTCGGATGTGAATTTAAATAAACGCAGAATCCACGGGGGTCGTCAAGAGCATGGCTGCCTTGCGGCGCGGGCGGAACGCAACTCGCGTCGGTGTCTACGCGCCCTCGTGGTTAAATAAAGGAATAGGGGAGCACGGGCGAATGAGGCGAGGAGCCGAGATTGGAGTGGGAGAGACAGGGGGGAGAGCAGGAAGGCGGGAAGGCGACGGGACAAGGGAGCCGTGGAAGAACGAGATAACAGAGCGCGGGAGGGCAGGAGCCATTGGGGGCTAGCGGCCGAGGGGCGGAGGGCAGCGGGAGGCAGCGAGAACGGCAGCGATGTCGGGCTGGAGCCCCGTGGGTGCGGAGATCGCCTACCTGCTGGGAAGGCGCCTCGGCCCGGAATGTGTGGGCTGCCCATGTCCCGTGGCGCTCCCTCTATCTCCCTTCCCCGCGAACCCCGCGCCGCCCGAGCCAGGCGCTGCCGCAATAATCAATCTCCCGCGTCTCCTCGCGCCTTGCTCCGACGGGGGGCAACGGCGGCGGCGGCCGGGGCTACACGAAGGCTGCGGCGCTCGCCCGAGGTTGTCTTGCGGTGTGGCGCTACTCCCTCGCCGCGCGGCGAAGAAGAGAAGACATCGCCCACGGTTCCCTCCGAAGAAAACGAATCCCGAGTCCGCGCTCCGCGCTGTCGGGGAC